TATGGAATTTAATGATTGTTGGATTGGTTGGATCATGTCTTGTGTCTTGGGTGTGCGATACTCGGTATTAGTTAATGGAAAACCAGAAGGTTATATAACACCAGAACGTGGAGTAAGACAGGGAGATCCCGTCTCACCTTATCTCTTTATTCTTTGTGCTGAAGTTCTCTCACATTTGATGACACAAGCTATGTTGAATAGATCTCTTTTGAAAGTAAATATATCTAATAATGCACCAGCAGTCAATCATTTGCTTTGGCAGATGATTCGCTTTTCTTCTCCTTGGCTAATGAGAAAGCAGCAACGAAGCTCAAATTTATATCTGGGAGCTATGAGGCAGTTTCAGGACAAGCCATCAATTTAAATAAGTCTTCCATTACTTTTGGAGCTAAGGTAAATGATACGGTGAAGACGAAGATGTGTAATCTGTTGGGAATTTATAATGATGATGGTATAGGCTAGTATTTGGGTTTACCTGATCATGTGAGAAAAAAGAAAGGGGAGATGTTTGCAAAAAATTAAAAGGTAAACTCTGTTACCCAAGGTTGGAAACAGAAATATTTATCTCATGGTGGAAAGGAAATATTGCTAAAATCTATTGCTTTAGCTATGCCCATCTTCTCAATGAATATTTTCTGTCTGGCAAAAGAGGTTTGTGCCGAGATTAATGCAGTGCTAGCAAGGTTTTGGTGGGGATCTGGAGATAAAAAAAGTTTGCACGGGTAAGCGCTTGGGACAGAATTAGTATACCTAAATGGGAGGGAAGACTTGGTTTTAAGGATTTGGAAATCTTTAACCAAGCGTTACTTAGAAAGAAAGTTTGGAGAATCATGCATAATCCCAACTGTTTGATGGCACGTATCCTTAAGGCTAGGTGTTTTTCAAAAGGGGATATATTGACTGCAAAAATAAGTAAAAAAAGCTTCCTATGCTTGGAAGTCAATCTTACATGGTAGAGCTCTATTAGTTAAAGGAATGAAGTTTATTATTGGAGACGGAACACTGGTTAATATGTGGTCAGACCCGTGGATTTGTGATCACCCCCCCAAGACCGCCACGAGCTCGTGGAGAAGCCACTGAAGGTGAAAAAGTTTGTGATTACTTTCTTGATAACATATGCGAATGGAATGAACAAAAGCTTTGAGAAGTCATCATTGATGAAGATGTCGATAGAATTTTAGCTATCAGAGTCAGTCCTATGGCTCAGCAAGATCTGATGGGATGGCACTGCAATGAACATGGTATCTATACAGTGAAGTCGGGATACTGGTTAGGGACTCATCTTCCCACACAGATTCCTCCACTTCCTATTTATGGGAATGCAGGCTTGAAATGTAGTATATGGAAGACTAAAACGCCAGAAAAAGTAAAACGTGGAGATTGATGTCAAAGAGCTTGGCTTCTGGAAGCAATCTTAAAAGGAGACATGTCACCTGAGATGATCCGTGTAAACAATGTTGTTCAACAGTGGAAACGGAGGAACATATTTCTTTGAGTGCCCATATGCAAAACAAATTTGAAGAGCATCTGGTATTTCAAATGTACCAATTAACAATTCAACTTCATCTCTGGAAGAGGGGTTTGAAGCGTGCTTATAATTTTGTTTATCAGCTCGCCTAAGACATCTAAAAGACTTGACTCTCTGGATCTTATGGATAATTTGGAAAAGCAGGAATACCTTTATTTTCCAACAAAAAAAGCATTCACTGGAGGGCTTCATTACGGTATGCACGGGAGGATGCAAGAGAGTGGAAACATGTGGATGGATCTGTAACTTTTAGACTAAGTAATCAGACGAGAAGTGGGGATATAACTTCAAGGGAGTGCTGGAGAAGACCAGCTAGAGATTGGGTTAAATGTAATACGGATAGTTCATTTACACAACAACAGCCGCATAGTACTGCACGGTGGGTTCTAAGAGATGAAAACGGTGTATATCAGGGTTCAGTTCAAGCAAGAGGAAGGAGAGTACAAGATGCACTAGAAACAGAGATGCAAGCGATACTAATGGATGTTCAACATTGCTGGAGCCTTGGCCATCGAAATTATTAATAACAAGAAGATGCATTTTGCATACTACAACTGGACAAGAGACATCAAGTGGTGGTCTACAAAGTTTAATGGAATTAGGTTTCAGTGGACAAGGAGTGAAAATAAGGTTGCAGATCGACTTGCTACACACGTTGCTGAAGGAGTGACATTCGAATTTTATAACTATGTACCAATGTTTTTGAATAATTTGCTCCATAGGGATCATGTACTTGCCATATAATTAATAAAAGTTGATGTTATAAAAAAAAGAAGATCTGAAAGGTAAACTATTACATCCGAAGAAGTGCTCTCAATGGCAAGACGATGGTGAGATGATCAACATAAGCAATACAGTTAAACATACGATATAAATGTTAAAAGAAGAAACTTGCTCTCTTTTTTTTTTGAACAACAGAAGAAACTTGCTCAAAGTAGAGAAACCCGCATATATTCTTCACTTGTTTTTTTGAAATTCTTGTGTCAACAAGCTTAAAATAGTCGGAATCGACGTTGAGAAACCCAAACATAAGAGTTCAGAAAGGGGCACGAATGCCGATCGAGAGACTAGCTTTAGCCAAACAAACCATTAAACGAAGGAGAGCAACATTAACACCGATGATGTTAACCTTGGAAACTAGGTGAATCTCGAGATATCCGAAGAACACAAAGATCAGTGGATAAGATGGTGAGACAGTTGATGTTATTTTCATCTCCGATTCCATAATAGTGCAAGTCGAAGGGATAATAGTGCAAGTCGAAGGGAGTTGTCGGATGGGAATGCCGTGATTCTACAATGGATTTCTCGCAGATTCTACCTTTCATCCTTCGTCCAGCCATCATCGAACTTGCAGTAACTATTAAGGTTTCCACTTTAGTTATGGTTTTTGTTGCTGAACCAGTTCACTAATCTAAAAGTTTTGTCCTAAATATTTTTCCCTTAAGAGAATAAACAACTGAGTTATATCAACTATTAAACTAGTATTAGAAATTATTTATATGCTATTAAACCATGATTATTTTACCGTCATCGTCGTATGTGCATGTGTTTCCAACCAAACATATATAGCAAATACTCAAGAAATAAAGAATAGCTGCATCAATTTTTTTTAATTTTTATCATTTTTCCTTTTACCTGTTTGAACACCGCATCCGCATATTTTTTTGTACTGTGGTCTTACTTTGTAAAGAATTATACACTAATATGTTTGTTTTATTGTGAATCTCAATGTTTCATCAACAATCTTGGATGGAGATGATGTCGAGTTTATCAACAAAGAAGCAGCCAGCATTTGAAAACATTTTATTAAAAATAACAAATTTCAGGTTTGCTTGATTTTTGATTTTAAATTTTTTATTTATGTGTTTATTTTGTTTTGATAATTGGTTTACTTTGAACTCCCATATTAATAATCTTTATTAAAATAAAATAATTATATTTTGGTGTTTAAAGAAAAGGATTGCTGTAATTCCTCAAACAGTCTAAGCAGATAAAATAAAAGCAAACTGGAAATATTTGAAGCTCATAGAATTACATTGTCAGTAAAAATGATCGGATAGCGCCTGACATATCATCAGTTACGTTCCAGGACATGAGGTTTCTAATAAAACTCTTTAGAAAGTTATATTGATTAAAATATCCAACTGCTTTTTCAGGTTCACTTGTTTTCTAAACTATTCAGTTTTTATCAGGTTTGATGTACTTTAGATTTCGAAATTTTTGATAAAACACGGTCGAACTCGGTTTGGATATTTAGTTTAGCCCATATAGTTACAAAGAAAACAAATTCTGATCAAAAAGTTTAAAGATCAATAATTTGGAACTCAATGAAAATCAATAAGAGCCCAATAGTGACATGTATTTATACTTAGAATGAGTCGGCTACATAACTGAATTTTAGATATATTTTATCTCTATATTTACAGTAGACAACTAATTAATAATAATTATAATATGTTTATTGGAATTAACCATTTTCATCCTATTTTTATGATATTTTAAATTTTCAATTCATGTATTATTGTGATTTCCTTATATTTTGAAATATTTTTGCTTTTTTTTTAAAAAAAATTTTTTTAAATTTTTTCCATATTTTTATGAAATATCTTTTTGTTAACATTTTCTATACATTTCTTATATTAACTTATCACTTATTATATTTAAATTAGCATATATAAATGATGAAGATGTTCACAATAAATATTTTGAATTAAATTGTTTATCTATAGTTTTGTCACTTTGCTAAAATTAATGTATTTAAAAATTTTGAATATATTTTTTGTTCGTATATTAATTATAGTTTCATAAACTTTTTATAGTAAATTTTTAAGTTTATGTCCTTATCCTAAGTGCTAGGCACGACACTGTTTAAAATACTATTTTAGGATCCCAAATTGCAAAACATTTGATCTTCTAAAACTCTCATAAATCACACTTTAACTTTTAATCAGTATGATATATTTGATAACAACTATTTACAATAAATAGAAAAAGAAAATCATTTGATATTTTTTTTTACTCAGTTTAAAGCATCCAATATATTAGTTATCCTTCAGTTAATGTATTTACTAAAACCATCTAGAATAACACGAACTTGAATTAGTTTATTTTACATGTTAACAACATAATGTAACTTTTTACAGTGATTCGTACAAGAATGGTTGTTATTACCTTAGATGCTTTTGTTTTATACAAACCAGCAGCAGGATTGTGCTTGGTGGTTCTATTTCTCCTATTTCTTTTGGAGGTAGTCAATATGAAATCACCATCCTTGTATGGAAGGTCCTTTTTTATCTCACATTGCTTTACATATATATGTTTCTTACTAAAACTAAATATATTTCCATTCAAAAACATTTATATATTCTAATATTTTAATAAGATCGTATATATGGGAACCCAGTAACTTATTGGTACGATACTGGTCGAATGAACCTTTCATAAACTTAGCTAATTATACAACAATCGCAGAATGGGGAGGTGAAATCTTAAACATGCAGAATTCATCAGGCATACAAAGACTCAAATAGGATCTGGCCACTTCCCCAAAGAAGGGTTTGGAGAAAGTAGCTACTTCCACAACCTTAAGATCATGGATAACAACAATAGTCTGCAGCCAATCCAAAACTTCAAGAAACGCCGCGATTCTACAATGGATTTCTCGCAGATTCTACCTTTCATCCTTCGTCCAGCCATCATTGAACTTGAAGTAACTATTAAGGTTTCTACTTTAGTTTTGATTTTTGTTGCTAATCCAGTTCACTAATCTAAAAGTTTTGTCTTAAATATTTTGACCTCAAGAGAATAAACAACTGAGTTATATCAACTATAAACTAGTAGTAGTAATTAGTTATACACTATTAAACCAAGATTATTTTATCGTCATCATCGTATGTGCATGTATTTTCAACCAAACATACATAGCAAATACTCAAGAAATAAAATATAGATGCGTGAAATTTTTTGTTTATCAGTATTCCTGTTACATGTTTAAACACCGCATCCACATATTTATTTGTACAGTGGTGTTACTTATTAAATAATAATACACTAATATGTTTTTGTAATTGTGAATCTCAATATTTCATCAACAGTCTTTGGATGGAGATGATGTAGAGTGTATCAACAAAACGAAGCAGCCAGCATTTGAAACCATTTTATTTAAAATAACAAATTTCAGGTTTGCTTGATTTTTTATTTTAGATTTTCTATTTATATGTTTATTGTTTTGTTTTGATAATTGGTTTACTTTGAACTCCCATATTAATAATCTTAATTAAAAGAAAATAATAATTTGGTGTTTAAAGAAAGGGAACTGGTGTAATTCCTCAAAACAGTCTAAGCAGATAAAATAAAAACAAAGTGGAAACATAGGAAGCTCATATAATTACTTTCAACTCTACGTAAGTAAACATACCAGTACAGAATTACAGTGTCAGTAAGAATGATCGGATAGCGTCTGACATCATCAGTTATGATCCTGGACATGAGGTATCCAATAAAACTCATTAGACAGTTCGATTGATTAAAATATTCAACTGATTTTTTAGGTTCATTTGTTTTCCAAATTATTCAGTTTTTAGGAGGTTTGATGTGCTTACATGTATTTATACTTAGAATTAGTCAGCCACATAACTGAAATTTTTAGATATATTTCATCAATATATTGATTTAACCTTTTTTCATGCTATTTGTTTTATGATATTTTACATTTTCAAATCATTTATTATTGTAATTTCCTTATATTTTGAAAATGTTTTGCTTTTATTTTTCTTTTTTTTCCATATTTTTATCAAATACTTTTTTGGTTAACATTTTTCTATACATATCTTATATTAACTTATCACTTATTACTTTACATCTATACTTTATATATTTAAATTAGCATATATAAATGATGAAGATGTTCACAATAAATATTTTAAATTAAATTTTTCATCTATATTTTTGTCCCTTTGCTAAAATTAATGTATTTAAAAAGTTTGACTATATTTTTTGTTGGTATATTAATTATATTTTCATAAACATTTTATAGTAAATTTTTAAGATTTATGTCTTTATCCTAAAATGCTACGCACGACACTGTTTAAAATACTATTTTAGGACCCCAAATTGCAAAACATTTGATCTTCTACAACTCTCATAAATCACACTTTAACTTTTAATCAGTATGATATATTTGATAACAACTATTTACAATAAATAGAAAAAGAAAATCATTTGATATTTTTTTTACTCAGTTTAAAGCATCCAATATATTAGTTTTCCTTCAGTTAATGTATTTACGAAAACCATCAAGAATAACACGAACTTGAATTAGTTTATTTTTGCATGTTAACAACATAATGTAACTTTTTACAATGATTCGTACAAGAATGGTTGTTATTACCTTAGATGCTCTTGTTTTATACAAACCAGCAGTAGGATTGTGCTTGGTGGTTCTATTTCTCCTATTTCTTTTGGAGGTAGTCAATATGAAATTACCATCCTTGTATGGAAGGTTCTTTTTTATCTCACATTGCTTTACATATATATGTTTCTTACTAAAACTAAATATATTTTCATTCAAAAACATTTATACATTCTAGTATTTTTATAAGATCATATATATGGGAACCCAGTAACTTATTGGTACGATACTGGTCGAATGAACCTTTCATAAACTTAGCTATTTATGCAACAATCGCAGAATGGGGAGGTGAAATCCTAAACATGCAAAATTCAGAAGGCATACAAAGACTCAAATAGGATCTGGCCACTTCCCCAAAGAAGGGTTTGGAGAAAGTAGCTACTTCCACAACCTCAAGATCATAGATAACAACAATAGTCTGCAGCCAATCCAAAACTTCAAGAAACACCGTGATTCTACAATGGATTTCTCGCAGATTCTACCTTTCTTCTTTCGTCCAGCCATCATTGAACTTGAAGTAACTATTAAAGTTTCTACTTTAGTTTTGATTTTTGTTGCTGATCCAGTGCACTAATCTAAAAGTTTTATCCTAAATATTTTTCCCTCAAGAGAATAAACGACCGAGTTATATCAGCTATAAACTAGTAGTAGTAATTAGTTATACACTATTAAACCAGGATTATTTTACCATCATCATTGTATGTGCATGTGTTTCCAACCAAACATATATAGCAAACACTCAAGAAATAAAGAATAGATGCGTGAATTTTTTTGTTTTTATCATTTTTCTTTTTATATGTTTAAACACCGCATCCAAATATTTTTTTTTGTATTGTGGTGTTACTTTTTAAAGAATAATACACTATAATTGTGAATCTCAATATTTCATCAACAGTCTTCGGATGGAGATGATGTAGAGTGTATCAACAAAACGAAGCAGTCAGCATTTGAAACCATTTTATTAAAAATAACAAATTTCAGGATTGCTTGATTTCTTATTTTAGATTTTCTATTTATATTATTATTTTGTTTTGATAATTGGTTTACTTTGAACTCCCATATTAATAATCTTGATTAAAAGAAAATAATAATAATTTGGTGTTTAAAGAAAAGGAATTGTTGTAATTCATCAAAATAGTCTAAGCAGATAAGATAAAAACAAACTGGAAATATTGGAAGCTCATATAATTACTGTCAACTCTTCGTAAGTAACGTACCAGTACAGAATTACTGTGTCAGTAAGAATGATCGGATAGCGACTAACATCATCAGTAACGTTCCTAGACATGAGGTATCTAATAAAACTCTTTAGACAGTTAGATTGATTTAATATTCACTGATTTTTCATGTTCAATTGTTTTCTAAATTATTCAGTTTTTATCAGGTTTTATGTTCTTTATATTTTGAACATTTTTTATAAAACGCTGTCGAACTTGGTTTGGATATTTAGTTTAACCCAGATAAACACAAAGAAAACAAGTTCTGGTCCAAAAAGAGTAAACATCGATAATTTGGAACTCAATGGTTCGACCCAAATAAGAATTAATAAGCGCCCAATAGTGACATGTATTTATACTTAAAATTAGTCAGCTACATAATTGAATTTTAGATATATTTTATCTTTATATTTACAGTAAACAACTAATTAATAATAATAATAATAACATATTTATTTGATTTAACCTTTTTCATCCTATTTGTTTTATGATATTTTATATTTTCAATTCATTTATTATTTTAATTTCCTTATATTTTGAATTTTTTTTCTTTTTTGCTTTTTTCTTTGTTATTTTTGTTTTTTAGTTTTATTTTTTATTCATATTAACATATATAAATGATGAAGATGTTCACAATAAATATTTTGAATTAATTGTTTTATGTATAGTTTTTTCTCTTTTCGAAAATTAATGTATTAAAAAAGTTTGAATATATTTTTGTTGGTATATTAATTATATTTTCATAAACATATTATAGTAAATTTTTAATATGTTTGTCTTTATCCGAAATGCTAGGCACGACACTGTTGAAAATACTATTTTCGGACCACAAATTGCAAAACATTTGATCTTCTACAACTCTCATAAATCACAATTTATTTTTTAACCAATGTTATATATTTGATTAACAAATATTTACAATAAACAGAAAAAAAAATCATTTGTTAATTTTTTACTGAGTTTTAAAGCATCCAATATATTAGTTTTCCTTCTATTTATCACTACAAGAAAACGCTGACTTAACGACCACGATTTACGACCACAAATGGTATTCGTAATTTTACGTCTGCTTTACGACCACTGAACATCAAATGAATTATTGGTCGTAAAACCGAAGTCAAATTGGGACCACAAACGTTGGTCGTAAAGCAGAAGTAAATGAACGTCTAATTTACGATCAAGTGAAAAAGTAGTCGTAAAGTAGAAGTCAGTTGACTACGGAGTTACGACCAAATATATAGCTTCGTATTAACGACCAAATTACGTAGACGTGGTAGTTTATTCGAAGTAGAAAAATGTTGGTCGTAAGTAGGGAGTAATATTACCCACCTACAATTTTGATATTTGCCTATAAATAAAATCTCATCTTCCATTTTTTAGTTACAAAGAAAAAAAAACGAAACAAGATAGTCCAAAAAAAAATGAAACAAGATATATAGAGTAAAAAATGTCTCGAGATATTTATGAGCTTCGAAGTTGGATGTATGCACATAAAGATTCTGAGGGAAGTGACATCGGAGTTCCTCAACGGAGCAGAAATATTCATGTACCAGGCAGGAAACACGTCTCTCACGAAGGAAACTAGTAAAATTTTCTGTCCATGTGTTAAGTGCAAGAATACAAAATTCGCTCTTAGTGAAACGGTTTGGAAACATATAGTTAATAGAGGATTTACTCCACATTACTACATTTGGTTTCATCATGGAGAAGGTGATAGTACAAATGAAGCTAGTAGTTGTAATCAGTTTCAAAATATTCGTAATAGAGAGCAACATTTACCTTCGGAGGATCAGGTGGTAGATCATGATAGGATGCATGAAATGGTTACTGATGCATTTCGTGAAACAAATCCAGTAATTGCTGCAGAAGTAGAAAATGTAGAGGTGGGAGTAGAAAATGTAGAGGTGGGAGTTGTTGGGGTCAAAATCGGTACGACGGAATCAACGGCCGAAACTCCCCGCAGAAATATAAAAGGAATCGTTTTGTAAAACCCGAAGAATCGTTTTATAAAACTCGAGGATCGTTTTATAAAACTCGAGGACCGTTTTATAAAAATCGAGAATCGTTTTATAAAACCCGAGGATCATTTTATAAAACTCAAGAATCGTTTTATAAAACTCGAGGATCGTTTTATAAAACTCAAAGAATCGTTTTATAAAACTCGAGAATCGTTTTATAAAACTCGAAGAATTGTTTTATAAAACTCGAGAATCGTTTTATAAAACTCGAGGATCATTTTATAAAAATCGAGAAGCCGTTTTATAAAACTCGAAGATCGTTTTATTAAACTCGAGAAGCCGTTTTATGAAACTCGAAGATCGTTTTATAAAACTCGAGGGTCGTTTTATAAAATTCGAGAATCATTTTATAAACTCGAGGATCATTTTATAAAACTCGAGAAGCCGTTTTATAAAACTCGAAGATCGTTTTATAAAACTCGAGGATCGTTTTATAGAACTCGAGAAGCCGTTTTATAAAACTCGAGAGGCTGTTTTATAAAACTCGAAGATCGTTTTATAAAACTCGAGAAGCCGTTTTATAAAACTCGAAGATCGTTTTATAAAACTCGAGAAGCCGTTTTATAAAATTCGAAGATCGTTTTATAAAACTCGAGAAGCCGTTTTATAAAACTCGAAGATCGTTTTATAAAACTCGAAGAATCATTTTATAAAACTCGAGAATCGTTTTATAAAACTCGAAGAATCGTTTTATAAAACTCGAAGAATCGTTTTATAAAACTCGAGAATCGTTTTATAAAACTCGAAGAATTATTTTATAAAACTCGAGAATCATTTTATAAAACTCGAAGAATCGTTTTATAAAACCCGAAGAATCGTTTTACAAAACTTGAGAATCGTTTTATAAAACTCGAAGAATCGTTTTATAAAACTCGAAGAATCGTTTTATAAAACTCGAGAAGCCGTTTTATAAAACTCGAAGATCGTTTTATAAAACTCGAGAAGCCGTTTTATAAAACTCGAAGATCGTTTTATAAAACTCGAAGAATCATTTTATAAAACTCGAGAATCGTTTTATAAAACTCGAAGAATCGTTTTATAAAACTCGAAGAATCGTTTTATAAAACTCGAAGAATCATTTTATAAAACTCGAGAATCATTTTATAAAACTCGAAGAATCGTTTTATAAAACCCGAAGAATCGTTTTACAAAACTCGAGAATCGTTTTATAAAACTCGAAGAATCGTTTTATAAAACTCGAAGAATCGTTTTACGAAACCGCAAAAAACCGAAATGTGGGAGTCGATTTCACCCTACTGTCAATAAATCGTAAAAAAGGAAACTTCGGGAAAACCCTAAGTTTCCAGAAGAACCGGCTATCTGCGAGAACCGCACAACAAAGATTAAGATGACTAAAACACTTAGAATAAAAACGAAAATAAGAGAGGTTTGAAAGCAAGAAGGTTCTTATTCTGAATCTGCGTTGAACTGGTTACAAAAAGAGTAACCGGAAACGTAAGAACTTAGAAAACCCTAATTGAGACGCAGCTCGCTAACAGAAAAACGGAAAGATTCCTAAATGCTAATTTTGGTGGTGAGAGCTCTGAATTTTCGTGTGTCTGCTTCTGCCCTAGACCTCCTCTTTATATACTCCTCATCTTGGCTATCCGATCTTTCCATTTCGCCCAGATTTGACTTAAATCGGG